TGTTAAGAAAAATGGAAAAATTAATGGCAAATAAACACAACAGTTAAAGATTTTTTTTCTATAAGTAAATTGTGAAGTTTCCAGTTTTTTTTCTCTCTAATTTATTGCCTACTTGACTATTTAAAGAAAAAATAGTTGAAAATGGTTAATAATAATATAGACTAGGGATATAAACAACTATTTACCTTAATAACGAGACCTAGGTAAACTAACCTATCTATAGTAAGGTTAGTCTCATAGAAAATCGTTTTGACAAAAGTTAGTAAAATATAAGTCTACTACTTACAAAAATTAAGGAAAGGTATTGCGAAAATAATAAATTTGTTGAGGAAAATGGGAAAAGAACTGATAAATATACACAACGTTAAAGTTTTTTTTTTCCTAAAGTAAATTGTGAAGTTTCCTCATTTTTTTTTTAATTTGTTGCCCACTTGACTATTTAAAAGAAATAGTTGAAGATGGTTTAAAATTATAAACAAGGGATATGAAAAATTATTTAACTATTTACATATAATGAAAATCATAAATTTATAATGGTTGTAAGGCCTAGGTAGCCTGACCTACCCAGCAGTATGGTTAGTCTCCCCACTACTTTTACCTCAGTCCTCCCTCCACTTCTCGTGAATGAACCTTTGATTTCCGGATGTTCGGTAATCCGCAGCGCACCACCATCAGTACTTCATTCACTACCTTACACGACAATTCGGAACGTCATTAGTGCAATTCCGATTGACCGTGTAGGGTCCCCTTTAGAATAGATGTTTTTGCCGCTCTCAGACTATTGTCTTCCACCTCGTGCAAGAGAGGCGAAAAGAGAAAAAAATTTTTGAAATACAAATGATAAGGAGTTTTATTGAAGATATGGATTAAAATAGCACAAGAACTAAAAATCAAACCTGATTATTGTAAGCTAAGGAAATATTGAGCATTTCATCCTCCTTATAATGAGCTATTATTTATAATTTTCATTTCATATTATTAATATCTCCTTGTTGATGTTTTCACTTCTATCGTGTGGTCTAAACCACACACCTTATTTATTTATTTTTTTAGTAGAAAAAGGCCTTTTCAATATCGATGAATAATTACTTTATTTCAAATTTATCCAAATTTTCGCCTCTTCAGGGATAATCTGAGTTTATATGTAATTTAAATTTTCATCTGAAAAAAACATATACAAAAATCTTTCAGAGTATTTACTATTAGATATTAGCCCATTTTTAGAACCATAATAATCTTTAAAACAATATTCACCAGTCAACAATATATATATATATATATATATATATATATATATATATATATATATATATATATATACAGTGATGGAAAAAAGTATTTGCACATCATGTTTTTATGAATAAATGAGTTCAAGGAACCAAAAAACTTCGCTTTCCTCTGCAAAAATGAAAAGTACATTTGTTAAAAACTGAGAAAAACCTTTTGGAAAAAAATGACAACACTCCATAATGAAACAAAAAAATTAAAACAATAAAAGTGCTTGGAAAAAAGTATTTGCACACTATGACTCACAAGCTCTGTTTACTTTGGCATTAATCCTCCTGTGTCCATAGGTCATAGGTTTGTTTATTAATTTATCTCTAATCGTTTATTACCAGTATTCTCTAGTCTTTCAATCAATTTCCTTTATTCAATAGACAATTATCATGCCAAAGACAAGTGAACTGTGTGCCGCAACTCGCGAAAAAATTGTTTTACTGAGGAGTCAGCAAAAAACATATCGCCAAATTGCCGATTTCTTAGGGTTGAATTTTTCTACAGTGAGATACGTCATAAAAAGGTATGAAGAACGTGGTTCAACTGGAAACAGTGAGCGTAAAGGGCGTCCAAAAAAGTTAACTCCCAGGCTGAAGAGGAAAATCAGAAAAGAAGCTCTTAAAAATCCTCTGATAAGTTCTCGGGAGCTGGCTACCATGAGTCCAATCAACTTCTGGAGTTCAGATTACTAGCAGAACAATTAGATATGCCCTGAATTCGGAAGGGCTCCATGGTAGAGTTCCAAGAAAGAAGCCATACATCAGTGAAACGAATCGCAAAAAGCACCTTGCTTTTGCTAGAGAGTACGTACAGAAACTTTTAAGCTTTTGGCAAAATGTCATATTTTCTGACGAAAGCAAATTTAATTTGTTTGGTTCAGATGGTCGAAGGACGATATGGCGACATCGTAATGAAGCCCTAAAGAAGCAAAATTTTTTAACAACTGTAAAGCATGGTGGAGGACATGTTATGGTTTGGAGGGGGGTGTGTTTCCTACCATGGAGTGGGAAACCTTGTGAGCATCGATGGCATTTTAAATGCGGAAGGCTATGTGAACATTTTGCGACGTAATTTGCGTATTAGTGCCGAAAAAATGGGAATCCAGGATCAGCACTATTTCCAGCGGGACAACGATCCAAGACATACTGCGAGGAGAACAAAGGAGTGGTTAATATTTAATGTTCCAAGACAGCTCCACACTCCTCCTCACTCACCAGATATAAATATCATTGAAAATTTGTGGCACACCCTTGACCAAAATGTAATAAAACACCATATCACTAGTGGACATCCCCTCAAACAACTTCTTGTTCAAGAATGGGAACAAATAAACGTAGATTTAATTAAAAACCTAGTGCATTCAATGCCCAGACGTCTACAAGCAATTATTGACGCAAATGGCCTATTTACAAAATATTAAAACTATTAAAATTTAAAATAAACTTGTAAATGTGGAAGTGTGCAAATACTTTTTTCCAAGCACTTTTATTGTTTTAATTATTTTGTTTGATTATGAAGTGTTTTTATTTTTTTATAAAAAGGTTTTTTCAGTTTTTAATAAATTTACATTTCATTTTTGCAAAGGAAAGAGAAGTATTTCTTTGAACTACTTTATTCATAAAAATACTTTTAATAAAATTGTGCAAATACTTTTTTCCATCACTGCATATATATATATATATATATATATATATATATATATATATATATATATATATATATATATATAAACTTGCTTATAGGAGTGCACCCACTTGCACACTAAGTCGAAGAACACAACCGAGCAATCCTACAAGGAGGAGAGCCGTTACCAACATTAAAATATTTAAATTTTACGTGATTAAAATTGAAAAATAGAATACATTATTATTTTAATATAAATTATTTAAATCTATCAATTATCGAATATTATTTTAAAGGAAGGAGATGGTCCGGGGTGGCGATCATAAATAGGCTGAATAGTGGCAAAACTATTTTATTAAAAGCCAACGTTTCGACCTGACTTTGCAGGTCTTCTTTACGGCTAGAACGGACAAGATATAAAAAGATAGAGAATTATGGAAGTTACATAATATTTAGACAAAAAATTATAAACAGTAAGTGCATTAAAATATAAACAGAGTAAAGTAAGTTACTCTGTTTATATTTTAATCCACCTTCTGTTTATAATTTTTTGTCTAAATATTATATAACTTTCATAATTCTCTATCTTTTTATATCTTGTCCGTTCTAGCCGTAAAGAAGACCTGCAAAGTCAGGTCGAAACGTTGGCTTTTAATAAAATAGTTTTGCCACTATTCAGCCTATTTATGACCGCCACCCCGATATTCGATAATTGATAGATTTAAATAATTTATATTAAAATAATAATTTATTCTAGTTTTCAATTTTAGTCATGTAGTATTAAAAATATTTTAATGTTGGTAACGCCTCACCTCCTTGAAGGATTAGTCGGTTGTGTTCTTCGACTTAGCGTGCAAGTGGGTGCACTCCTATAAGCAAGCTTCTATATTTTGATATATATATATATATATATATATATATATATATATATATATATATATATATATATATATATATATATATGTACTAATGAACAGCTGCGTAAGATTTGTGATCGGGGCCCCAAGATACTCCCATGTTTCTCACCACTACGCTGAGTTAAAGTTGCTTTTCCCCTCCTTCCGAAGACAATATTTCCTAGGTACGTTCCTCTACCAAATCATCAACAACCATCGTCCTTCTTACGCCTACAACCTTCTCCAGTTCAAATCCTCAGTCCATTCCCTGTCCACAAGATCTCGACCTTCTAACCTTTACATGCCTTCTCACAGATCTGCCTCATTCCAAAATTCCTTTATTGTTCGCTCTGTCAATTTCTGGAATTCCCTCCCTATCAAAATTCGACATTCCCCATCCATATCCACATTCAAAACCCTCCTATTCCAATTCCTATCCCAAAAACAGTCAGATAGTTGCTAACCATTCGAGCTGATTTTAATAGAGACTTTGATACATTTTTATTTTTTAATTCTTTATTTCTTTCGTAAATGTGTATACTGGTCTATAAGAGCAAACAGCTTTAAGTGTCTTGTCATAGTATTAATGGTTTTGTATATAGTTTAGTTTGTTTTGTATATAGAATTTTTACCTTATATTTTTTTTTTACATTATTTCTTTTTTTCGATTGATTTTATTTTGGCCAGATGTAATATATTAATTTTGTTCTATTTTGTTATTCTCAAGGGACTGTGTTCCAGAATAAAGTTATTTTTCTATTTCTATTTCTATTTCTATATATATATATATATATATATATATATATATATATATATATATATATATATATATATATATATATATATATATTGTTGACTGGTGAATATTGTTTTAAAGGTTATTATGGTTTTAAAAATGGGCTAATATATACTAGTAAATCCTCTGAAATATTTTGTATATGTTTTTTTCAGATGAAAATTTAAATTACGCCTAAAATTATATTATCCCTGAAGAGGCGAAAATTTTGATAAATTTGAAATAAAGTAATTATTTATCGAGACTGCAAAGGTTTTATGTTTTTTTTTTTTTTTTTTTTTTTTTTAACTGAGCACTCCAACCAACTTCTCTTAAATTATTCACTGCAGTCAACCATGAATCCACAATTACTATAATAATAGCTTTATTTATAATACATATTCTGAAATATTATAATATTATAATACCTGCGCGATTCGAGAGCATTGGCTGATGATGAGCAACACCAGCATTAGCCGGGAAGTGGTAGGACTCATGATCCCTGGGAAGCGGTGACTGTTGAGTTAGCCAACGATGGCGCAGCGCAGCACGCACCTCCCTCGTACACAGCCCACGCACGGGGAGGAAGGTAGGAAGGGAGTGTATCCTTGACCTGGCACGGCCAAGGGTACGGGGCATCCCTTTGGGGGGGGGGACTGAAGTTTGTCGTATATTTCGAGAGCTCATTAAAAAATATTTTGCAAAAAAAAAAAAAAATTAAAAAGAGAAATTTAAAATCCTCTTTCTGTAGACCGAACAACTCACTCCTGTCTTTTAAAATTACAATGAGATCAGGAGAAAGAGGAATAGCAATGAAATCTGATTAACTATCAAGTAGCAAATGTTGAGTGTGAATCTTTTGTTTTTTTTTTCTATAAAAATAACTTAAATTTCCTGATAAATTTTGTAAAATAACACTAACCACAAGTGAATAATGAAAGCGACAGGGAAGAGGTTGAATTAAATCAGAATCATATTTTCTTTTATAATTATGATCCATTTTAATCGTGTAAATAACCTACAGGAAGTTAAATGTAAATGATTCGTTTTGGCGGGAATAGGCGATTAGCCTTCCGCTTTTGTATCGGGGTTTAAGGTTATTTACACTCGTGAATTATTATTAAAACAAAACCCCGGCACTGGATATCGACTTTTTGAGGGTGTTTAACTGTGATTGGGAATTCGGGGATCTATTACCTTTTGATGATACTGTGTGAGAAGAAACAATAAGAATATAAATATGAAATGTGGGACTTAGTAAACACTTTGAATGAATTGACTCACCTGGTTTATTCTTCAATTGTGAGGCCTATAGGACAAATAAATAAAAGGACTATTCACTCCGGTATAATAAAATAATTTATTTTGACAACTGATAATAAATGAATATATATGAGTGAACGGTCGGCTTGATAATCTTGGTCTTCAATGTAGTAAGCCTCTCTTCCCAGATGACGTCTTCTTGTGTTGGTGTCCAGGCCTTAAGTGTTTGGCGTCGTCCTCGCCATCTGTTGCCAGCTACCTGATCGCACCTTTTCTTCTTTTCGATTCTTTATCGATGTCAGATTTTCCAATGAGCAATTTGTCCACTGCACAATTGAGTACAATCCACAGTGCTACTTCACATTCCTATATATTATATATACCTTCTCATTCCCTCACACAATGTCCTCTAAAGGAATAAATACAGGGGGATGTCTACTACAGTCGTCAGAAAAATTTAAAAATTTAACCCCCCTCAAAATATGAGAATTTACGTTTCATGATACGTAGTATTCAAAAATCGAATAGAGAGAGAGAAACACTTTATTTTCATAAAATATAAAATATAAATGATTGCTGCCCAATTATAGTATACACAGCATACTCTTCTATCCTTAGGACAATATATGAACTTATATATAAATATACAGAAGTATTAGTTAATATTAGTAGTGTATATATATATATATATATATATATATATATATATATATATATATATATATATATATATATATACATACATTTTTATTATTTTTTGTTTTCCCCCTTTTTCCTTCCTTTCATTGTTCATGCTCTTTTTTTATTTGACATTTAGCTTCCCTTTCTCTCACTTCTCTCTCCCTTTATCTCTATTGTTTTCAATTATTCATTAAATAAATACATAAATTAAAACTCTCGGGCTAGCCATGCACGTGGTGGTGAATGATTCCTAAGGAGTCGAGGACTATATTTTCAGCCAAGTTCGCTACGTCCTTAGAGTCAAAGATTTTTTTTATTTCTTCGCCTGTAAAAATACTTACATATTATTTCTTAAAAGATTTTTTTTTTCAGTGCGTCATACATAGGCGCAGAATTTCTATTCTGAAGAGGGCGATGGAAGCTTCCATAAAAAAAAAAATCTGGTGAGCGCATCACACGACTATCACTTACAATTGTGGGTTAATAGTTGACTGTCGTGAATAATGAAGAGAAGAATGATTAGAATGATCAGTCAGAAATAAGAAGGCAAAAAAATATATATATATTTATTTTGACATTTGCCGACGTTTCGACCTGAAGTCCAGGTCTTCATCAGGGCTGAGAAAAGAACCAGATCACAACCTTATTATCTGGTTCATTTCTTAGCCCTGATGAATGCCTGAACTTCAGGTCGAAACGTCGGCAAATGTCAAAATAAATATTATTATTTATTTATTTTTGCCTTCTTATTTCCGACTTTCGCTTACCATCCTCTTAGCATATATAAATATTTTCAGACAAAGCGGAATTGAAAGTAAAAATTATATACGCTGTATTTATTTACATTTCATTGTGGGTATTTTTAATTGTTTAATTACTCTTATATATACAAATTTTAATTTTTATATCGCTGTAATCTATACAATTAAATATAAATAATATCAACGATAGCATTATAAAACCGCACATGTATATGTACATAATATTGTCGGAGTCCGTATTATATTAAGCTCATGTTACGTATGGAAGTCTGTTCTAATCTTTCGGGCACGCTCTTATTCCCTTGGTTCCTCCATTACAACTATTATATGAGAAGGAGTTGATCGGGAGAGAGGGGGTGTGGTCAAATAAATACTAAATAATAGAAATAGTATTATTTAATTACTATGTCGACATTTCGACCCACCTTGCAGGTCTTCATCAGGGGGAGAGGGGTTGGGAGCGGGGTGGCCGAATGGGCTAAAGCGGGTGCACAGCACCGCCGTTGCCCGGCAACCTGACATATGAATGCAAAGATATAAAAATAGTCACGAGTTCGCGTCCCGGTGCCGGGGGAGTCTTTTAAATCCCCGCCCACACTCCCTGGCCCGGGAAAATCCCGTATAGCCTTAACGGCGAGGAAGGGAAGGACCCCAAAAAAAAAAAAAGGTCTTCACCAGGGCTACAAAAGATACAAAATATTCAAAAGGTACATGGTGAAAATAAAATAAATGAATAATAAGTAGATATTAAATAAGGAAAAGTTGTCTGATAAAGGAATAATAAGATGATATCAGAGATATAGTGGGTGACAGTGTAGTTACAATATAAAGTATTATATATATAGAAGATTCAAACTATTTTCTATTTTTGTTTCTATCTTCTATATATATAATACTTGATATTCTAACTACATTGTCACCCACTATATCTCTGATATCATCTTATTATTTCTTTATCAGACAACTTTTCCTTATTTAATATCTACTTATTATTCATTTATTTTATTTTCACCATGTACCTTTTATATTTTGTATCTTTTGTAGCCCTGAAGAAGACCTGCAAAGTGGGTCGAAACGTCGGCAAAAATTAAATAATTACTAAGTTGCTTGGCAATAACCAAAGGTCAAATTTTCACTATGGCAGAAACCCAATTATTGGTCAAAAGGAGAATGTTGCCCTAGATGATAAAATTTAGAACATAAATTAGAAAATTGACGATGGAGCACATTATTATAATCATTAGAATTAAGGTAATTACAAATTTATTGTAACAAACATAATACAAATATGTAATGTAACAAGCACAATATTGTAACTTAAAAAATTTTTAGCCTTGCATCCACAAGAGTATTGGAATTGCAGTTCTGAAGATGGGAATAAAAGGTCCCGAAACGTAAACTAGACTGTAACATGTAATGTTAAAAATATACTCGTATTGAATTGGAAGTTATTATTGCCAAGCAACTTAATAAATTGACAACTTCCCAGGAAAAAAGAAAAAAGAAGTAAATAATTACTATATTTTGATTTAGTATTTATTTGACCGCACCCCCCAATTAACTTCTTCTCATATTATATCAACTGTCAACCATCTCTACATCATTATTTTTGTTTAGTTTACTTTATATACATTTACTTTTAGAATTATTATTTTTCGGTATTATTTATTGTAAACAGAGTGTGAACACTATTATAAATGGCCTTAATTGTGACAGATTGAAACATCTCTCGATAAATATTTTTAATTAAAAAGAAAATCTCACGTTTTACGTTTATTTCATCAATACATCATTATCTTCTTATATATTATTTCTCAAATATATATCCCTTTTCCGGCTCTTAGGAGTGATGGATTTTGACGAATGAGGTATCAATAGACAAGGAATATCACGTAGAGTGCGCGAATCGTAATTTTAATTCCTAATTTATACCTAGACTTAAATAAAAGTGAATGTAAAAGTGGGAGGTTTCAAACCGTATGATAATGCCGTCTCAACGAATCCAGACGTTACAAACTAATTAATAATTTGGGAATAACTTGAAAAGGGTGCAATTTTTGAGCCATTATACATATGAGTATTTGAAAGCTTACTAAATTCCCTAAAAATGAAAAAAAAAATTATCGAAATCGGACTACGCGGTGCAAAGATTTAGCGGTCTTAACATTTAGTATTCTACTTTAAAGATTTTTTCTTCATTTCAGTTTTGGATTACTCAAAAACTTTAAATCTATTGTTGTAATAATTGTTTTTATCAAGTATATTTTAGTAGAATTTTATTTTTTCGAATCTTTCAAATGTCAAGGATATATATTGATAATAAAATTCATAATATTGAGGAAAACGTTTTTTTTACCCTTATATATACTTCATGCTTGGATCGTTTAAATGAATTAAAACATGGAATAAATATATAAGGGTAAAATGAATCTTTTTTCTTGATATTATAAATTTATTAGCAGATTTTCTTATTTAACAGAAAATGATATAAAATTATTACTTAATCTACCCCATTTTCTCTTCTGCTCTTTATTTGAAATTTTAAAATTTAGGCAATGACTCTTTTCTTCCTGAGACAGAATAAATTGTATCAGTAAGTAATTATTCTAGCTAATTTCAAAACATTTGGTTTTGTAAAATTAATTATTAAATTTGTTATAGCGCTATAAATCTGGAATGTTATATACTTCATTTTAAATACAATATTATCTATATACAAGCTATTAAATGTTTATCATTTTAAAAATTTACTTGATTATTTTAAATGGCAAAAGAAACGTTTTTTATTTTCTGTGAATACAGACAGCTAGGTCAAAACGTACCTTCCAGAGAACTAAATTCAAAGTATTTAGCCTTCATCAGATATTTAAAGGCAATGTTTAGAAGCTTTTGTAAACTTAAGAAAAAATATAATGTTATAATTATAAATTTAAT